TAAACGCAAGGATGTCAAAACGTGAGTGACGGGGACTTTGTGCTTAGCGTAGCTCTTTCCTTGACACCTGCATTTGCTACGGCAGTGAAGACATCGTGGTCAAGGTCAAGTTATTTGCGTTCGATTTGCTGTACCTCAATGGCGAGGTAAGTCTACCACCGACTGACGCGGTCACCGGCCCGGAAAGTACTGATCGTTTGCTTGGCCTTCTGGCAGCCTCTGCTGCATCTCGACCTCGAAGCGCGTCGCAAGCTTCTCCGAGAACATTTTCAGGTGAGATCTGTTGACCGCAAACTTCGCGGCTAGCGCATGCTGACAAGTCCTGCATCGCTCTAGCCTGTGCCCAACGACTTTGACTTTGCTACATCTCAAGACTGTACGACGGTCGAGGAGATTCAGACTTTCTTGGACATCAGTGTCAAAGAGGGTTGCGAGGGGCTGATGGTCAAAATGCTAGCTGGCGAGGATGCAACGTATGAGCCGAGCCGGCGCAGTATGAATTGGCTAAAGCTCAAGAAAGACTACCTGTCTGGCACTGGCGATTCTTTGGATCTTGTAGTCATCGGTGGCTACTACGGCAAAGGAAAGCGAACAAATGTGTACGGAGCATTCTTGCTGGCGTGCTACGATGCGGACTCGGAGACGTATCAAGCCGTGTGCAAGATCGGCACAGGGTTCTCAGAGGCGGACTTGGACGCGCACTGGAACACTTTCAAGCCGCTCGAGCTGAGCTCCAAGAAGGGCTACTACGATGTGGGCGAAGCCAAGCCTGACGTCTTTTACGAGCCAAAAGTGGTGTGGGAGGTTCTCACTGCGGACTTGTCGCTCAGGTGAATACCGTCTGACAGTCTCGAGGCTCGTTGGGCACTCAGATTGCTGATGCCAAGGTGCTCCTCACTTTCTCTCCAATCAGTCCGGTGTATACGGCTGCAAAGGGTCTGGTGGATAGTCGCGGTATCTCGCTGCGGTTCCCACGCTTCATTAGGATCAGGGACGACAAAGATCCTGACGACTCAACCTCTCCGGAACAGGTCAGTAGACGAGGTTCAGAATTTTGGGCTAGAATGCGCCGCCCAGGATAGAGTTACGAATGCTGACACCTCACGGCCTAACCCGCGCCTGATCCGTCGCAGATCGCATCAATGTACCGGGCGCAAGCTACGACGAACAAGTCTGGCGGCAAGGGAGAAGCTGAAGACGACTTTTGGTGATCACCGCTTCTCGCTCTCCCGAGCGGCTGAGCGCCCAAAATTACCTCGCAGCCAACATCACCAGCAATCGCATCGCACGAGCCAGTCATCTTCAAACCTCGCAACGTCTTCGTTCTGTTTTCAATCGCAGGATTTTGGATTGCTTCACTTTTGTGTGGACTATTCGCTGTTTGACGTTCGATCTTGTCGAGTCTGTGTCGAGAATTCTTTGCTGGTAGTGTACATGGAGTCTGGCTTGCTGAAGGCTAAAAGGCGCCTGTGGCCCTCGAAAGAGCGATGCTGCCTTTGGCTCTGTATAGAGCTAATCGAATGGACCTGAAATCGAAAGCGAAGTGGGACATCGTGAGCATGCCGCATATTGCGCAGCGCGATGCTCAGCTGTGCAAACTTACCGAGATAGTCCTCTTTCATGAGGCCGATGGCGAACTGTGCGAGAGACCAGACGCGAGGTGTTCAGACCACATGAGGCGAACATTCGAACGACACTCCGCTTCTTTCCTCCAGGTACCGCGGAACACCTGCAAGCCAGCACTTTGGAGGACTCTGCATCCCTGCACCGCCCCTAGCCGGTCCGAAGCTCCGACTCACGATTTCGTTGGCCTCGACGCGCGTGCCTACAATTCTGATCCTGCATTTTTTGCCTTTCACAATGGTCTGTGACGGGGCCGGGCAATTGTCAGTCACAGCTAACTCGTAGATCCGCTACCAATCCGAACGCTAGGACTGCTGCGGGCGAAGCTGATCGCGACTCACAGTGCCATCTTGAGAGACAAACTCAGCCGGGTTGGAGTCGGGCTGAAACTTGTAGTCCACGGGCAAGAGGTGAACCGAGGTGAAGACCTCGACGGGTCCGTACGAGGCGAAGAAGCCCATCTATGTGGTGGCGAGGCATGCATCGATTAGTGTGTGGGACATCCGCGACCGACCCTCCCGAAGATGTCAGACAAATCTCTCACCTTGTTCACGTTCGTCACGATCACATCCACGACCTCTCCCTTGAACTGTGTGGAAGTAGGTCGCATCGTCAGATCAGCCGAAATCGACCTGAACAGCAACATCACTTGGGCGCTCACCGGTTTGAGTACAATGGCATGGTACTTCATGTTGAATTCGGCTCTTCCCTCGCTTCCAGGAAGGATGAGACCATCTCCGATGTCGATCACCTTCATAACTTTCACGATGTACCCCGTTTCTCCGCTGCAGGTCCCCTCGACCTCCATCTTAAGCTGCAGCTCCACTGCTCAGAAAAGAGGACAAGCTTGAGCGATCAGCCCCACCTCCTAACTATGCTAAAGTGGCACACATCGATGGCTTGTCAAGCCTCTTCGCTGCTGCGCTTGCTGACATGTAGCCAATCTCCGTGCGCATACAGCCGGCCGTCAAAGCTATCTCGTCCCACCGTAATGCAGCAGCTTCTTCGCATTTGTAGCAACTTAGAACGAGCGGGCTTAGAACTCACAGTGCTGGACGATGTTGGGACCAAAGTAGCTCGGGTGGAGCTGAATGGTGTGCCTCAGGGCGTTGTAAAAAAACATCTTGCCAGCCGCAAGCCCGAGGGCAAGTCCGGTTGATCGCGCTACTCCACGCCACTTGTGTGATTGATGATTGGAACAGTCGCCTCCGCCCACTTTCGCAAAGCTCCACTCTTCTCGGTGCTCCGGCAACCGCCTTCTGATCCCTCTCGCTCCTGTCTGTCAACTTTATGCTTATTCGACTCGCATCTAATGGGCGGTAGAGCTGGCGCGATGTGATCGTGATCTGGGTCGAGCGACTCGATGAGAAATTAGGGTTTGACAGATCTCCGAAGCGTATGCCAGCGCATACATTCGAAGCTCCCCTCCGTGTGTGAAGGTTGTGGAGAGAA